ATTGCTACTCTCGTGTAACATTAGTCTAAAAATTTTACACATTCTAAACTCGATTGTATAAATCAATTTCATGACATTGTTAATCAAATTATGTCTGATATGGTTTGATTAAAACATAATGAATCATAATTCGATGTGCAATTGATTGTTGAAATGAGAAAACTATTGCAACAAAGTGAACAGTTCATTATCATTCATTTTGTTAAACATCATTATCTTCATTGAGTTTTTCTTTTATAATTTTGGAAGATTTTTTTCAAAAGATTATTGATTTCCACTGATATCAATATCATAAGAGCATTTTAAATATTCTTAATTACAGTCTATATCTAGTCCTTTCTCTGCTGAATTCGACTAAGAATTCTTGTTTGATTATTGTAGATGACCTCAATTTGCTCACCAGTAACGATGATTCTATATTGTCAAACACTATCTAAAAGAAGTGTTGAAGTATAGAGGTGGAAATTTGAACTCCTGTCTTCGTCCCCTCCTTCCATTAGAGGTGGCAGACATGTTAATGACGGCTCATAACAGATGATGAAGTACGTTGTTGATATATGATCAAAGACCGTATATCGATAATATCCCCTTTATGATTTATGTTCTACTTCATTATTGCATTCCTAGAGGATTGAGTAAAAGGATAATAAAGAAATGTGCCCCAATATAGATAGCATAAAAAAATCTTCCTATGGTTGGCAATAGCAGCTATATCGTCTTTCACATTTCAATCCCACAAGGATTATTCTAACAGCTTTTACTTTTTATAGGCGCAGATATTTGTAAGAAAATGTATTGAATATAACCTCAAAGAACATACTATCATATTATAAAAACAAACAATTAAATTGCTTAAATTGTATAAGGGATATTTACATGTACTTTTCGGACGAAATTTTGGCACAGTATGTAGATCTTAATGAATAACTTTATCAAATTTAGAGTATTTCTATGTAAAATACAATTCAAACTGTGTCTTGATAATATTTTTTTTTAATAAGGATAAGCTTAATTAGTAAATGTGTTGGAAAATTCTTCTAGCGAAAAAATCAACATTCCTATCATGCAAAATAATTGCTTGGCATTTCTAAATAAACTTTCATATTTTATTAGCACTTGGGTAAATATTTTTGATACAAAGAATATTGTTTTTATTCTAGCCAAAGTTTAACATTTGCAAAATGGGATGGCTCTGTCTAGCTAATATACTGTTATGGTGTTTCTAAGAGTTTATTGAAATTTATTTCATGCAAGAGTACTAATAAAGAGAAAAGTCAATATTCATATATTAAGACAGTTCATTTTGTTTTTCAATTGACTTTTTCTATCTGAAATACAAATATTAATCCTTTTAATTTTTTCACAATCCCTGACACAAATATTTTATTTCCATATGCATGTTAAAAAAGAAAATAGAATTGCATTTTAATTTCCGATAAACCAAAAAGGGAAAGAAAACTATTATATTTAATTTCGTTTTAATATTCAAAAAATGTTTATTATAACATATGAAAGTATACGATTTATCTCTATGTACGTGTGATACAAACATATCTATAAAAGAATAGAGAAAATGGAACTTGTACTTTAGCTGTAAAGTATGCCAAGTATTCTCCCTTTTTTTTTGTTATCTTAGTCGATAATTATATTTGCTACAAGCATAAATACGATAAGCAGAACTTAGCACATTTGGACGAAAGTGTTTCAAGGGTAAGATTTCAATGATTATTCCGAAAAAATGAAGTACTATATAAAAGGATAAAGAAAAACAATTTTCCTTTGTCTATTGTTATATCACTCATAGTTCTATAGAGATTAATTATTTTGATTTCTATTCTTTATTAGCATAAATGTTATTGAATAGAAAGAAAAAAAATGTTAGAGGGTGTAACAAAAAGAATTTTGCTCAGGGAAATCCTGAAACTCTCTAGCTATTTTTTCATATCTGTTCTATGCTACTTTTATGACCCAAAGTATCAAAAGAATTGTATCTAACTGGTTGTTATTTCTTCACGCTATCAAACAGAATCTCATAAAAGAAACAATTTCTTTAGATTGAAATGGCACACGCGAAACGATGTTGCTTTAACTTTTGTAAAGATTTTAAAGAGTATGCATTCGAATACTTGATGTTTTCAGTGTTTAATTCTTTTTATATTTATAGATTTGCCACTCGAGGTAGTGTATTGGATTTAGCTATTGGTATTGTTATTGGAACTGCATTTACTAATGTTGTTCAATCACTTGTTGATGATATTATTACACCTCCATTAGGTTTACTGTTGGGTGGTGTTGATTTTGCTAATTTAACAATTAAAATGAAAAATTTTGTTTATACAAGTCAACCACCAGTTGTTGTTCGTTATGGAAAATTTATTCAATCATGTCTTGCCTTACTCATTATAGCCATGGCACTTTTCTGTATTATTAAAGCTATAAACCATCTATATAAAATAGCAGCTAAAAAGAAAGAAAAAAAGGAAACAGACGGAAATATCCAGGTAACCGAAGAAGTTAAAGTATTACGTGAAATTCGAGATCTACTAGCTGGCAAATCGTCTGTGGCATTCACGCATATTTAAGTATAATTAATCCATAATATTTATACTATATATATACGTATATCATCTATTTGAATGAACTTGACTTTTGATTGCTTTTTGTTTAAATAAAGTTTGGTTTTTGGTAAGATGTGAATAAACGTATGAATAAAAGTTTTTCTGCAAAAATGTTTAAATCAATTTATCAATCATTATGAAAAACAAGTAGATTTAATTGAATATGTGATGTCGAAACAATATTTCGGAGACTTGAATACTAAATATTGTCTTGAGAGATGATCATATGGTTACAAGAAAACCTCACTAACTAATATGCTCTAATTGAGCTCATATTTTACTCATAGATTGGATTCATAATGTCGATAAAAATATTAAAATGATTCTTTCCATTAGGCCCTTGTTCTCGAGCTATGATTATTTTGCTGAAGTTTCAGTCTATTGCAGGATGTTACGAGCAAAACCAAATCTAAGAATTTCAATCTGGAATTTCTCTCAAAAATGGACCTCATCGCCTTATAGTATTCTGAAAGTTTCAGCCAACATGGATGCTCTATTACTGAGATAACAAATATGCAGAAAAGGTCTGTTATCACAAAAGATTCGAGCAAATTCGATTTGTTGAGCATTCAACATTTTGAGAAGAAATCATCTATTTTGTCTGAAATTTGCAGGATATTATCAGCATCATAAGATCTATTTTTGGGAGAAATTTTAAATTGAAATTTCTTGATTTGGTTTTGCTCGTAATACTCTGCAATAGACTCGAAATTTAGTAAAATGATCATAATTCGAGAACAAGGGCCTAATGTGTAGAATCCTTTTCAATTTTTTATCGACATTATGAGCCCGACCTATGCGCACAATATGAGCTTAAATAGAGTGTATCAGTTGGTGAGACTTCCTCGTTAATACTAATAAGGTGCAATAAGATCACAATACAAATGATCTTTATGATATGAATCAACAGCATTAAAGAATGAAAAACGAGTAAATTTTATCAAGCTAGATGAATAACAAAAAAATAAAACAAATTGCTTTTTGTCGTACATCTCTCAAATTATAACTGTGATTTTAGTCAAAAAGAATTTTATCAAAGTTTAAATCAAATATCCCATTGAAACTATGTCGATGAAAGTAAGGGTTTATTCACTCTAGAGCTTTTATTAATAAACGAATGTATATATTCAGCTAATTTAACTTTACAAGTTCTATAAAGACTAATCAATATGTTTTTTTTTCATTGACTACTGAAATATATATATGAATATCAAGAAGAATATTTCATCTGTTGCTAAACTAATATTATCTATGAACACAAGGAATAAATATCAATTTTTGCATTATACATTGTAGATTACCATTCTCTCTTATTGTTTATCTATCAATAATCATATTGTAAATTTTTATATTTGTATTTTATAGGAAAGTATCTTGAACCTTTTCCATACACTTTTAACTTAAAGAATAGAGTATATGCAAGTCGAATATCATAAAGATTTTTGTCATGAATTGAAAGACTATATTATAGTTAATGCATATTCTGGTTTTTTAATAATTTTCGATTGAAATAGATTTGCTCGTCAAGATAATGTTGTTGATTTGGATATTAGTATAATTGTTGGTACTTATTTTATTAATGTTGATCAATTACTTCTCAACAATATTATTATATTTGCATTACGTTTGATTGTAGGTGGTGTTGATTTTGCTAATGACAGTGCGAGGCACCATGTAGCAACCTTTTGCGAGTTTTTAATGCAGTACAAACCACAGCATTTCTCTTGTCAATCGCGTATACCCATTTGACCTTCATAGTTTGCGTATTTTTCGCTGTAACAAAATCTGTACTTTGTGTCGCGATGATCTAGAGAGCGGTGAGTGGCTAGAAATTCGTTCGAACATGGTCAGAGAGATCAATATCTTGAGATGATACAAACGTTATGAAGTGTTTACGATGAGTTTTCGTTCATCTTCAATAAGTTCTGCAAAATGGCGATTTCGACGATTTGACATCCATAGTTGATCCGAGAGAATTAAAAGTGGTAAACTAGTCTTCTGCCAGTTAAGTTACTAGCTGTTATGTTGCAGACGTGATGATGAAAACATTCGACAGCACAAGATCGGCTCTAGGTGAAAACTTTTAATGTTTTTATGTTAGTACAAATTCCATTGCCGAAATTTGAGATCGCTTCGCAACGCATTTATGTAGTCCTTTGAAAGTTTTCTTTTTTTTTATTTATTTACTAAACGTTCTCATCGAAAGCTATCACTTCCAATCGCTAAGATCTGTAACATGAGAAATCAGAAAATACTGATTTAAATGTGCAGATAAAATTTCATGATCAAGTCTATACTATTTGTTTTCCAATCTTCAACAGGACATTTCACTTTCTTAGAAAAAGTCACTCAAAAGGGCAAATATTTGTGGACTTCGCTTTTTTTTCAAGTTTTGAGATAATTAAAACGGTGACAAGTTGCTTATATTCATCAAAACTTTATGGACAGCCGATAATAAAGAATGAATCATATAGATAATGGAGTGATAAATCCACAGCGTCTTCTAAAAACATGTTGATATACGTTGATAGAGTTCTCATAGTAATAGACTTTTTCATGTCTGCTTTACCATTCCTTTCATACTTCGATCATTTGATTGACTGCAACGCGGACAATTCGTTTTTTATGAAATATTGATTTTTTCAATAATCGACATTAGTAGCTTCGCATCACGTTTTACAAACGAGTGAAATTTCAATGCTATCTGGACTTTTTCTCGACGCATAACTGGAAATGGAAAGTTGTGCAATTTTCGTTCAAACATTGCTACAGAGTTCCATGTTCCTATATGATCATTATTTTTTCGAAACTTCGATATGGAATTTCGTTCGGTTTCAGTTCGTTCCACAAAATGACAATTTTGCCGTGAGAACTCTTTTTTCTCGAGAAAATGAAAACGAAATTGATGATTGTGAAATAATGAAAATGAGTTTTAGCATCGACAGTGATCGGAGAGAACGTTGCCATCATCCTTCGGATTTTTCTTCACACCAAAGATCAATAATTGAAATTTAAAAATGATTCGTCAGTCTCGTATTTTAAACGAAACTTTAGTCGTTATGACCGCACGTGAATATAATTGATATAATTTACTTTCTGGTTGATAAAAATTGTTGAGCATTGTTAATGGGTCCACAGTGCTACCTAAATATATGTTTGTTTTTCATTGATTAGACGAAGATTACATCACAGTTATTTGTTTTCAAAGACGGTTTAAGAGTTGATTGTATGTGATTGATTCTTTATCATCGTTTCTAGTTCCATAGACTTTAAATTTCTTTATATTATTGCCAGTAAAAGCACAATTCAAAATAATTCAATCAAATTATATTCGCTGCTCAATCACAATTCATAGTTTTTGTTGATTTAACAATATGGCAGACTTCAATTTGTTAGTTACTTTAGCTTCAAAGTTTTATTTTAACTAGATACATGATGAACTTATCCTTTTACAGCATCAAATAAAATAACAATTGGTCGGAAATTCTCATGAATAATTATCGTCTATAGTACGATCTATTAGAAACCTTTTAAAGCAATTCCATCGTATATATATATATATATATATAAAGTAAACTGCAAATACAGTTTTCTTGACTTCTGTATTCTATTTCTCTGAATGATAGAAAGAATCAGAATGGCTTGGAGATTAATAAAAAATAAATGAAAATGAACGAAACTTAGTCCAGAATTCTTTTGTACTGTATACTATAAATTTCATTGGTTTTAATACAATATCTATTGCTTTTCAATAAGCATAAAACTCGGTTTGTTTCATCATAAATAGTTTGTAGCGTATATAATTAAATATGCATAAACTCATCATTCAATTTTGTACGAAATAAGGACCTGTTTTTTCGTTAAATTTGACGTATCGATCAATTTGAAATTTTTATAATCTCATACATGATAAGTCCAGTTTCGATCTCGAAGTGAATATAAGTTACAAAATGAACTAATTTTGAAACTATACATAAATTACAACAATAGAATCAAAGTATCATAGGAAACTATCGTAGACGCTCATATCTCGTTTATAAAATAAATTAATGACAATAGTTTCATTTTGTTTTTCCTTAAGAATAGTCTGAGAACATGAAGGCAAAACATTCTTTTTGTATCCTATGTTAGAATTGATTCATTTTTCATTCGAAAAGACAATACTTAACAATAATAACAACGTTCTGTCTATGCTTTCATCGGTTTCATATGATACTGAATTCACAATCAAGCAGGAAGCACCTATTGAAATAAGAATTTGCCATGCACTTTCAAACAACAATGTGTACTAATATGTTTCTATGCACAAACCTATTTACAGCAACATAAGGAGAAGAAGAAAAAAAAACTTTCAGACATCATAAAAAGAAAGTGAAATGTGACACAGTGTATGAAATATATTGTTATCTTCTTCCTATTCATTCGTTATCTTGTGACACTACAGATAATCATAGATAAAAAGAAAAGGAGTGAAGTACTTAAGTGAAGCGAAAAGAAAAAAGAACTTGAACAGCAACAACAAAAATCAAAAATAAATAAAAACATCTAGAAAAACGTTCCAACGTATTATATAAGCTCAAGTCATTTTATTTTATTTTTCTTCATTGATTAAACACTACGCACACTATGGACAATAAGAGAAAGCCGATAACAACAATAACTGCTGCTACTGCCACGCCATCTGAGCATACGAGCATAAAGCCACGACAGCTTCCTGACGCTCGTATGGTTCAGAACTTTTTGCTCATCTGGCTCGACAGCAGCATCGATCCAGAGAACAGCAAGGCTTGCAAGAGTATCATTTCAAAATTAAAAGAAATAGTCAATAAGGTCAATACATTCAATGATGTCAATGAGTGTATCAATTTTATTAGCGACCTCAAACAAGATAAAGTGTTTATGATCGTTTCTGGTGCATTGGGACAAACCATAGTTTCTATTGCACAAAACATCCCTCAAGTCAGTACAATTTATATACTTTGTGGGAACCCAGCTCAACATGAACAATGGGCCAAAGATTGGCCAAAAATAAAAGGAATCTTTACAAATATTGCTCCTATCTGTAAATCTCTTCAACAAGCAGCATATGAATGTGACAAAAATTTAATCTCTATCAGCTTTGTCACCACTGATCGTAGAACTATCAAGAAAAACCTTGATCAATTAGATTCTTCATTTATATACGCGCAGATTATGAAAGAAATTCTATTAACCATTGATTTCCAACAACAAAACTTCGATGAATTTATTATCTACTGTCGTGATGTTTTCGTCGGGAATCCGAAACAACTTCATTACATCAACAAACTCGAACAAGAATATCATAAGCATCTTCCGATTTGGTGGTATACTTATCAATGTTTTCTGTATTCAATGCTCAATCGATCATTACGAATGATGGAGGTCGATCTCATCATTAGAATAGGATTTTTCATCCATGATCTTCACAACCACATCAGTCAGCTTCATAAGGAACAATATGTTGGACATGCATATATGAGATCATTTACGGTTTATCATGGTCAAGGACTGTCGAAGGTCGACTTTGATAAAATGCAGAGGACGCAAGGTGGACTTTTATCTTTTAATAATTTTTTATCGACTAGTATGCATCGGCAAGTATCGCTCAACTTTGCTCGTGAAACTATGGAATCATCCGATTTTATTGGTATTTTATTCGCCATGAAAATTGATCCGTCTATCGCATCAACACCATTTGCTGTTGTCCGTGACATCAGTTACTTCGAAGGAGAAGAAGAAATTCTCTTCTCTGTGAATTCCATCTTTCGTATTGGACCAATGAAACAAATTGATGGAAATAATCGTCTTTGGCAAGTCGATTTAACATTGGCCAGTGACAATGATCCAGACTTGCATGCACTAACTGAATGGATGCGAGAAGAGACTAAAGAATCAACAGGATGGCTTCGACTAGGAACACTGATGATAAAGTTAGCTCAATACAACAAAGCCGAACATTTATATGAAATATTGCTTGCTCAGAGAACTTTTGACGATGAGAAAGGAAATATTTTTTATCAGCTTGGAGTGGCCAAACTTCACCAAGGAAAGTATGCAGACGCGCTCACATGTTATGAAAAATCGTTGAAAATTCGTCGAAAATCTCTTCCATCGCAACATTCAAATGTGGCTGAATGTTATAACGATATAGGTGTGGTGTATGAAAAGATGGGTGACTATTCCAGATCACTTTCATCTCATCAAAAAGCACTGAAAATCTACCAAAACGCTCTTCCTCCATATCATCCTAACTTGGCTACTTCTTACAACTGCATTGGTTTGGTGTATTTCAAAATGGCTGACTATTCGAATGCACTTTCATCTTATCAAAAAGCACTGAAAATCAACCAAAAAATCCTTCATTCAAATCATCCTGATTTGGCTACTTCTTATAACAGCATTGGTTCGGTGTACGACAACATGGGTGACTATTCGAGTGCACTTTCATATTATCTAAAGGACTTCGAAATCTGCCAAAAAACTCTTCCTCCAAATCATCCTGATTTGGCTAATTCCTGTAATAGTATTGGTTTACTCTATGCAAAGATGGGTGACTATTCAAGTGCACTTTCATCTCATCGGAAAGCACTGGAAATTCGCCAAAAAATTCTTCCTTTAAATCATTCTGATTTAGCTACTTCTTACAACAACATTGGTGCAGCGTATGACAACATGGATGACTACTCGAATGCACTTCCATCTTATCAAAAAGCACTAGAAATTAAACAAAAAACTCTTCCTTCAAATCATCCTGATTTAGCTATTTCTTACAACACCATTGGCTCACTCTATGACAACATGGGTGACTACTCAAATGCACTTTCATATTATCAAAAAGCACTGGAAATCCACGAAAATACTCTTCCGTTAAATCACTCTGATTTGGCTACTTCTTACAACAGTTTTGGTTCTGTATATGCAAAGATAAATGATTATTCGAATGCACTTTTATATTATCGAAAAGCACTGGAAATCTACCAAAAAATTCTTCCTTCAAGCCATCCTAATTTGGCTACTTCTTGCAACAGCCTTGGTTTAGTGTATGACACCATGAGTGACTATTCGAATGCACTTTCATATTATCAAAAAGCACTGGTAATCAAACAAAAAACTCTTTCTCCAAATCATCCTGATTTGATTAGTACTTACAACAACATTGGTTTAATGTATGACAAAATCGGTGACTATTCGAATGCACTTTCATCTTATCAAAAAGCACTGGTAATCAAACAAAAAACTCTTCCTCCAAATCATCCTGATTTGGCTAGTACTTACAACACTATTGGTTCAGTGTATGAAAACATGGGTGACTATTCGAATGTACTTGCATCTTATCAAAAAGCACTGAAAATCTACGAGGAAACGCTTCCCTTAAATCATCCCGATTTGGCTAGTACTTACAACAACATTGGTTTGGTGTACAACGACATGGGTGACTATCCGAATGCACTTTCATTTTTTGAATGTGCTGTTGAAATTGGACAACGTTCACTACCAGCAAATCACCCTAGTCTACAACTATGGAAGAAGAACCTCGAAAGCTTGAAAAGGAAAATTTAATTGATTTTTATTTTATTCAAAGAAATAAATGTTTTGAAGAGAAAAGAGTTTTGTTCTTTTGTTTTTATTTGACGAGATATATGCGAGTGTACAGAGGAATTTTGCCGTATTGAGAACACAATGGCACCATGCCCACTAGTAAGATAACCAATATATGTCCAAACGATGAATATGTATTGTAAATAAAAGATCTCCCCAGTACAGTTGATGTTTCAATAAGAGAAATTTCCAATTTGGGAAAGTGTACTCCTATAGTTTATCGTACTTCCACCTATGTCTATATTCATTCAAATTTTTGTTACCATTTTTACTTTCTATAAATGTTGACGGTATTCCAACAATTTTTAATAGTTATGCTCTAATAATACTTGAAGCAAATAAATAATCTAGAATCATAGAGAAAAAAAACAAAATAAAACAGAGTGAACCCAATAAATCATACATTAGTGGGAATAGAAATGTACTGCAATTCTTGATAAAAACAATCTAGTCATTCTTCTGTACATCATCTGACTTCTATCAATCTTAAGTTAATAGTGTAGTGAAGAGTACACAATAAGAACAGCATACGTAAGTAACTTCGAGAAAAATATAAGTAAACAAATGTGTAACACTTCGTTTCACTATGAAAATTAACAACGGTGAATAGGGTGAGGTTGTGTCTTTGATTGTGGACGGGATGCAGAGCGGGCCCATAGCTACAAACACTTCCCAGACTTGGAACCGAACCGATCGGTTTGTTGGTGACCAATTCAGTCCTATTGAATGTATTCACTATGGTCACAAAAAGTTAGCCAGCCAAGTAGAAGTCCAAGTCGGTATAAACTAAAGGTTTTCTTTCTTGCAGTTTCGAGCACATTTTTCTCGCCTGTCTTTAACTGAATGTTAGAAATTTTCGATGGCTAGTTGTTACAAATTATGTTTTCATTACATTAGTATAAAAAAAGATTCTGTTTCATTGTGAAAGTTTTACCAGCTGCTACCTCATGCAACTGTAACTGTATAACAATCTCTTTTAATTTATTATTCGAATCGAGGTCTTCTTGGTAAATGACTATGAAGGAACTTCTGAGCATATCCATGTACTTATATATATATATATTTCGTCGTAGTTGGAAGTACTTCTGTGTTCTGTTCGTGTCTCTTGATACTCCCTGTACTCCTTCGTACTTTTTCATACTTCTATACTTCTGTAGTACGTTTTTCTCCCCTTGGAAATTTCTTTGTGTCAGGTATAGAGCTATCCTACAGGCAGATAGAAAAGTGAGAGGAGAAAGAAGATTCTTTGATTCATGCAATGAATTGTTCTTTCTCTTTCAATGTAACAATAATTCATTGTATGAATCAAAGAAAAAAAAGAAGAGAATGCTCAGTGATTAAATGATTTATTTCTATGTATAGTTGAATTAATGTTATCTTTAAAACAAAAAGAGTAATTCAACTATACATAGGATAATTCATTCAATGAATAAGGAAGAACAATAATAGTTTGATATGTTGATAACGATGACTTTTTATGGGATTGGAGAAGATGGTTTTTCTTTCTTTTTGTTTAGGAAGAGAAGTTCAAAGCTGATTGATTTGTTTATACAAATCTGGACGAATATGCTTATCAATTATTATTTATTTAACGTGAGTGAAAAGAAGAAAAAGACATAATTAAGGAATGAACAAGGAAAACATTAGTGCAATAGTATCATTGATATGATATGAAGAATGAATGAATGAACCATGTGACTATGATCATTATAAATGATTTCAATTTTATTGTTGTGTGTCGTTCGTTTGAATAGTATTTGTTTGAGAAATAAAGTAAAATAAGTTCGAATTCGAAAATCGATATATTAATCCATTCAACAATGAACATCGTTGAGATAAATGTAAAAGAATAAGCATAATAATTCGTTTGATGTCTATGATCGAAATATTCGAAATTTAAGATTGTATTTTGGTTTCTTTTTTTGTCTTTAAAATTATTTTTTTATGAATGAAAGTGAAACTTCATAGTTTTTTTCTTTTTATTTGCGCTACTTCGAGAAAAGTTCAACAATGACCTTTTATTTTCTATACGAGCTCTAATACTCTTTATGAATTATATTTTCAATAGGTTATTTGAAACAAGTGAATAAATGAAAATCAAATAGAAGAAAAACAAATATAAAATACATTTATCACTACTAATTCGTAGGCTCTTGATGTCTCCATTATGTCAAACTTCGGAGCATGTATACAGATCGACAATGAAATGAAGCAACAGTTCACAAGTACCATCTAATCAAAATAATGTAGTTAATTTCTAGCTTCATGGTTGAAAAAAGAGTCATGCCTTTCCAAAAGTTTCTTGTCACTATTCTATGTGACTTCTATTGACTCAATGGCTTTTCAAATAGGAAAAAAATTCATATCTTTGATATCTTTCTTATTAATTTTATTTTTCTCATTCTTTCCTCTTGCAATCCTATGTCTTCCAAGATATTTTGGATCGTTATTTCTCGATTTACCTTATCGTCATATTAATTGACTACTAGTCTTAAGTTTATTCGGTACAATAACTGTCTGAAAGAAAAACAACAGTGTAACATTAATACAAAAAGAAGTCAAAACAATTTTTTATATAAGTGCACCATATTAGCATAAATGATTTTTGTTTATGTCATAAACATTGTGCAACAATTAACATTACAAAAAATAATCATTTGTCCATGGCCAACAAAAAAAACGGAAGAAAAATATTTGTCCAGATGCTATATCAGATCAGCACAAGTATTTATTTTCTTTTCAATAAATATCTTGAACATTTATTTAACTATTCATCATTGTATATTGTTATATCGCAGGGTAATTTTCATTTAATACTCTGGTTTATCATCAACTAAATCACAAACATCTCATTAAGAAACAAAACCAGAAAAGTAAACAAAGAGTTTCATCTCTTCACATACATGATTCAGAATTGGTTCTTCATTAAAAATTCATTCGTTGTTATGACTGTAATACAAAGTCCAACATGAGCTCATTGATGACTGAAAGTGGTTTCATGTTCAAATGTCTCATCATTTTCTGAAGAGATCTAAATAGACCAATTTCAATATTGTATTTGACATTATTACTAGTGATCGACTATAGTTATATCATTAGAATAGAGAATAAGAAATGTAGTCGAACCTTCGACTGTTATCAAACAGTCCACGAACGCTCAATATTCTTCAAAACAAAAGTTCAGACAAGTGCGTCACTTCATTTTTTTTCTATAAAATGTAATTTAACGAAGCCCTCCTTATTGGAATTTAGTATATTAAACTTATCCTGTCAATAGCTATCTAACGTAAGTTTTCAAACTACATCAGAAGAAAAATAAAAGAATCGTATTCGAAGTCGCAGCTTTCACTATGAAAACACGAGATCATTCACATTCTAGAGTCTCACAAGGAATTTGCTGCCATGAATCGTATGGAAGTATATGCTGATCAAGCATATTTCACAAACCCAAACCCACAAGACTCCTTACTGCTGTTAAAACTGAAATATTAACTACAAAAAATTAGAATTTAACTACAGAAACCCACTACAACACATGTCTTGAGCAGCCATAAACGGTCGCCTAAAATTTATCTCAAACTCGACCTTCATAAGCTATTTTAATCGAGTATATCAGTTTTCAAGTTTATTCTATAATGTTAGTGGTCTTTCCTTGGTACTTGATTTTAACTTCACACGTCGCTATTCAGCACAGCAGATATACAAAGCATTAAATTATTATTAGACAAAATGTGTGTAAAGAAAAAAAAATTTATATCATTTTTCATGTAAAATAATGTCAGCAGATCGATAAAATGATATCTCTTAAAAGTTTCATATGAAATTATTAAGCAAATATATCTAAATGTAGATAAGGAACAAAAAGAAAGACAGTAAACAAGTATATTGAAATTAACAGTTGTCACAAGAAAAAGAAATGCGTTCGTCATCACTGTTAAAACATATTACACCGGTTTGAAATTTTTTCAACGTGGATTATCTTCTATATTAATATATGATTATTATTTAGTTTTTAAATCGCACATGGTACCGTCATGCTTCAGGACTAGCTCAATCAGAATTAGTACTTCATAATACTCCAGTTCTTCCACTCATTGATTTTTCAGCATTTGCAAGTAAAGATGAAACAAATCATTATCCTCATGATATAATTGAGAAATTAGCAAATGCTTGTGAACATGTTGGATTCTTTTATGCTATTGGTATGTTCTTTTCTTTTTTTTTTATTGAAATTAGTATGAAAAAAAAAAGAAGTAAATTGATGTTTAGGTCATGGAATATCGAATGAATTACTTCTTCGAACATTATCTGTAACACGTCAATTATTTGATCTTGATTTGAAAATCAAAAATCAATATGCTTCTCGTTTATTTGTTAATTCATCAAATATAAATTACCAATCTGGTGGTTTAGGTCGTGGTTATCAAAGTATTGGTGAAAATGTTACAAATTCAAGACGTGATCGTCATGAAGGTTTTGATCTTTATCGTGAATTGGATTCCAATCATCCACTTCGTTTACAATTCAATGAAAAAAATTTAACAAATAAAACTTTACCTGATTATCGTGAAATGGCAATAGGATGGAATCTATGGCCTAAAGAATTACCATTATTTAAAGAAACTATAACTGAATATACAACAGCAATGTTACAAGCTGGTGCACGAGTTATGCGTGCTATTGCTCTTTCATTAAATTTACCATTAAATTATTTTGAATCAACATTTAATGATTCATTTTGGGTAAAAAACAACAGATTTCATTGTGATTTTGTTTTTCTCCTTCATATTAAATACATACATCTATTTTTTCATGATTAGGTTATTCGATGTATTCGTTATCCACCTGTATCTCAAAATAAAATTCAATCACCAGAATATGGTGAAGGTTGTGGTGAACATTCAGATTATGGTTGGTTAACATTTGTTAATCAAGATCTTGATTCACATAATTGTCTTCAT